CGATAACTTCAGTGAAGTCCCGCCTGGGTCGTTCTGAAATTTTCAGAGAAGTTCCAAGAACTTTAGGAAACTTGCATGAATTTCAAAGAAATACCGAAAACTTCATTGAAAATTAGAATACTTCAATTGCAGGGAGCTTAAGGCGAGCCTTTGGGCGACTTTCAAGAACTTCAACAACATTTCGAAACTGCAGGTTGGCATGTTACCAAATACAAGTTCCTTCTAAGAACTGACTTCTCGAAACTTCCCTAATTTTGCAGGAGTATTCAAAGCTCTCTAGAAAACACTTTTTAAATTCTTTAAACATTTTGGTAGTATTTGAACACTTTAAGAGTTCCTGAAGTCTCCCGTAGCTAACTTCAAGTTTCCATAACATTTCTCAAATATACGGAACTTCCCTGAAGCTCACGGAACTTTTCTAATGATTCGACACTTTCCCAAAGTTCTAGGCATGAAAAGGAATTCTCGAAACTTCAATGAAAATCTAAGAATAGCCAAGGAGTTCCCTGAACTTCCCTGAGAATCTAGGAATAGTTAAAGAATTCTCGGACCATTCCAGAAGTGTTCAGACTCGCAGAATGGAGATTTCGAACATTCCCTAAAAAAAAAATCCTAGAATTACCGAGAGCTCACTTTTCTAAAAATCCTGAAACTTCCTAGAAAATACGAGAAGATCTCAACAATTAACCACTTCATTCGAGCAGTTCAAATGACGTTTACTACCACTTGAACTTTGAAATAAAACATTATTTTGAGTTTCTTCTTCTAGAACCACGAGGAATGTAGCCAAAATTTGTGCGTTTCATAAAAAAAAAATAGAAAATAGTTGGTCCAGTTTTGTGAAATCGCTGGTAGAAAGTCACGCCAAAACTGCTTGACAAAGTGGTCAATTCCAAAAATATTAGAGAACTTTCCAGAAGTTCCGGAAGCTACTCACAAGTTCTGGGAACTGCACGATAAATTTCCAGAACTTCACATAATATCCAACAACTTTTCATAAGTTCCGTGTACTTCTCACAAATTTCGAATACTACTATATCTAGATCATCCTAGAGTGCCCCAGAAGATCCTCGAACTTCTTAGCAGATCCGAAAACCTCCCAGAAATTCCAAAAACTTTCCAAAAAATCCGAGGATTTCCCAGAAGATCTCAATTCTAAAAACTTCCTAGAAGATCAGAGTAGTTCCCAGAAATTCTGAGAGATTTCCAGAATTTTTGAGAGCTTCCCATGAGTTTTGAGAATTTATCAGAAGATCTGAGAAATTCCCAAAAAAAAACTGCATTTACAACAAATTCCAAAAACTTCCCAACAACTCCAAGAGCTTTCCAGAAGATCCGTTAACTTACCAGAATATTCGAGAACTTCGCAGAAATTCCGAAAACATTCCCAGAAGATGCGGGAATTTCCCAAAAATTTCCGGCACTTTGAATAACATCCGAGAACTACTCACAATTCCAGTTAACTTTATAGAACTTCTTTCCAAGAACTGTTCAGAAGATTCTTGAATCTTCTCCAGAAAATCCGAGAACTTCCCAGAAGATCAACGAATTTCACAGAAATTATCAGAAGTGCATAGAACTTTACAATAACTCAAAGAACGTCCCAGAAATTTCGAAATCTTCCCGGAAAATGCGCGAACTTTCGGGAATTACCCAGGATGTAAGATACTAGGAAATTCCGAGAACTTCCCAAATATACCGAGAACTTTCCGCATTTTCTTTGATCTTACCAGAGTTTCCAAGAACTTCCCACAAGATTCGAGTGGTGAAATAGCGAAACTAGAAGGTTTTCCGGGAATTGTCATGACCTTTTTAAAGAGCCTTAAGACATTCTTGAAGATCATAGAACTTCCCAGAAGTACCAGGACATTCTCCCAAGTTTCGAGAATTTGAATTTGAATGTTTAGACATTTCTGGTACTTACGGAATATCTCAGATTTTTGGGAAATTCTTGGATTTTCTGTGAAATTCTCGAAATTTGTGGAGAGTTTTAGAACGGAAATTCTGGACGGTTCTCGGATCTTCTGAAATGATTTTAAATGTAAAAACTAATCTTCTGAAAAGATCTTCTGACTTACCTGACTTATAATGAATATATCAGGCGTAACATTTGATAACGGCACAAAAGCTTTTGTAAACAAACTTTTTAAGGCCCTTTACACGCAAACCGAAATACGCTCACGCAAACCAACAACATCATTGGATAGGGGCAAGTCTCACCTTTCCGAAAGTGGTATTGGTTTGCGTGGGTGTACTTTGGTTCGCGTGTAAAGGGCCTTAGAAAGTTTGCTTTTGTGCCGTTATCAAATGTTACGCCTGATATGTTGTATCCGGGGGAAACATGAACTGGTCTAATTTTTCATTGAAAATGGTATGTTAAATTAGACGAAATATACGTTGTATTCGAGGTCCGCGGGCACAACGTATATTCGTACAATAGGAATTTTTGAAAATTTGTGGTTAGTGTTTGGATCTTCTCGAAAGTTCTCGGAATTTGTGAAAAGATCTCGGAATTGCTAAAAGTTCTGTGAACTTCTGAGAAGTTATCGGATTTTCTGGGAAGATCTTGTACATTTTCAGAACTTCCATGAAATTTCAAGAACTTCCTAGAAATTATGAAAACTTTCCAGAAGATCCGAGAAGTTCCTGAAAATTCTCTTAATTTCATTTGCACATTTTTGTACTTCATTGAAGTTCTCGCTGATGTCTTAAATTCTTGGCACCATGAACAACATATCACATAGTTTTTCCTTCTTTTAGTAGCAGATAATTCTTGCTTCACACCTGTTTGATTGGTTGTTTACTTCTTGAATAATACATGTATACATGTAGTAGTTTTATTTTTCGTCTCTTTCCTGACATGATACAGGATAATTACTGACGATTTGAGCAAAATTTCTTTTATTTGAACCGCATTTGTTTGAGTTTAACGGCTTCTCAGTAAAATTGTTATCGAATACAATTTGTTTAAAGATTTTGTATCTGCTTTAAATATGGTAGGCAGCACATACTTAAAAGATGAAAACATTACCTTTTTTAATAGATATTTTAGAAATTTGGGAAAATAATACATTTGGGGTAATGGAATGGGAAATGGAATTTGTGGAAATCGAATTTGGTGTAATGTCATAATATTCGATTTCCTACAAGTTGTCCCCGTTCCTAAACTACCCATATTGTTGGGTAAGCCCAATTAAAATTTTGAAAAGAACTTCAAAGATTTAAGGTGATTAAGAGTTGAATAAGGAATTTCTGGCTCAAAAAGTATATGTTTGCTTGATTAAGGTCAAGCTATAATTCACCTTTCAATTTTCGTTGGAATATGTTACGGTATATTGGTTTTTCTCGACGCTACATTGTCCAGGTCTCCCGGCTTCTTTTCAAATGCCCGGTTATTTTTCGATATTCTCGGTTTGCTGGCCACCCTGTGACTCACTTCGCAGTGGATATGAGAAAATAATATAACAGACAAACAGACATAACACTGGCAATTTGTTCATCGAATAGGCATTTAACGGTAAATTTAAATGTTTTTAGTTTGTAGCACCGCCACCCAGGCCAGTGACAAGGCCTATACTAACGGCAGCGTTTGACAGTAGGCAGCGTATCCCGGGCTCAAATCATTTATTTTGCTGTGCTGGGCCCGCTGTCATGGTATACCATGTTTCCTACGCGCCTGCCACTGGGCTGCGCCACCTGTGGCACGCATAGTCAATAACCCTTGCGTTTGACGTTTACACACTACCATCATCTGTTCAGTGTACTACCCATCACAGTATACTCAACAGATGGTGGTAGTGTTTTAGCGACGATGTTTTATATTGAAAAATATTAAATGTGTTATATCTGTTTGTCTGTGATAATAGTGAGTTATTCACATTTTTATCAATTTATTTGTCAAAATGAGTTGTTTCTCGACTTGCCCAATATTGCTCTAATCAGCTAGAATCAATTTTATAAAAAAAAATGAAGAACCTCCAGAAGCTACCTTACAGAATCTGCATAAGCGATGATTAACTACAGATTTTTATATTATAAAGTAGTTTATTTGTCAAGGCTCAATTGCTGTACCTTTACGGAGTCGAAGTTCAATTCTGTATATCTTTCATACAAAATTGTACGAGAATCTTACATTTATCTATTAGGTGTGCTGGAATGCTTATATTCGCAATCAAAAACCAAAAATCATTCGCACAAGATAAGAAACAACAAATAAACTTCCGATAACCGCGGTGGCACCTGCTGCGCGCACTCATTCAAATTGCAGTCTACCGATAAAGCAATACAAAAATGCGCCATAACTGTTCATTTCTGTGTGTCACTAGCGTCGTGTACCACCGTGGAGCGGAAGAGAATGTCAAATAACACAATAAACTATTATTAGACTATTAGACCATAGTAGATACCGGCAAATCGCGGTGTACAACAATCTCGGGTGTAAGAATTGTTTTGAGACAGATCGTTTCAATTATGCAAATCTAAACCAATTGAAACCTACCCAACGGTAAAACTAATACCGACAATGAGGTAATTTGATAGTTCAACACGAGCCGATTGGTCGACCGCATACAATGACGGCAGACGGGACAAGGCCAAGTGAAAGCGAACCGAAGACATTCGCACGCGTTTGGTGCACACTAACACCGATCTGAGCCATTGGCAATTTATGCAATCTCCGATAAAGCCAAAGCATGTCAATATCGATCATTTGAAAAATCCCCCTCAAATAAACCGCACCGACCTCATATGATTGATACCTGTTGTCCAAATGACACAGTTTCATACGTTAGCCAAATTGATGTGCTTCGCTAACATCATTATTTATGACCTGACCATCTGATGATGGGAAACAGACCGACCGACCGACCGGCTTGGCTTGTTCCTATCCGGGTAATCGGACGAATCAGTGCAATAAATCAATGGGCACGGGTACCTGACTGATAACAGTAACAACGATGACGACTTTTTTTTTTTCTTAAGAACTTAGACATTTCACTTACAGTGGTTTCCAACCAGGGGTGATCGGCAACGAGCTGGGTCCATTGTGTGCTCTCATCGACGGATGCAAATCGGCACTTGGCAGCACCGTGTTCTCCAACGAGGTGTCTGTTGATGATATCCTTGCCGGTGGCTTCGCGTATTGCTTTTGCGGACATTCTCTGCTACTTCTCTGATGACGCGAGTTACGTTTATGTGCTGCAAAATAGAAGGAAACGTACGATACGTTTTAAATTAGATGATGAAGCTTGCTAAATTCGTACATAATAAACTAATCTGCCCTAGTTGAGCGGTGGAAAGTTTTGGGAGTTTAGTCACCAACGGCGTCACCTTTGGACTCTTTCTATTGAGCTGCAGGTTAGGATAAAAAACTTAAATATTTAGGGCAATGTTGGAGAAAACTTTCATTTTATATACGTTGAAGGCGAGAATATATCCAGAGCGTGGTCAACAGCATTGATTTATTACTAGTACTAACTATCTAAACATACCTAGGCATGGGGAAAATTGTCTAATTTAGTATGCAATATTCCCGAACCGCCGTTTCCACTATATAGGGAAAATGATTCTAATGTTTGCCTATGGATCTAAGATTGGGCCCACCGCTAAAAATCTTCTATTTATCAATTTTATCTAGATGAACCATTGGGACGGTACTAATGGTTATTTTTGGTCGCTATTTAAAATTTAGTCGATTGCTGAATTAATGCATGGGCCCATATTAGGGGCATTTAGACCGACATTACATCCATTTCCCCTATGTACGTCGTTTTTTTGTTGTTGAACGCAGAACCGGCGAAAAGTGCCAGCAATCAATATACTGAATAAATATAGTAATCGAGTATCGCGTCCCCAAAATTAATCGGGTTCAGTGGTAGGAAATTTTGATAGAGAATTGACATGAGGAACGAAACGTGAAACAACCTTCAGACTCTCTGAAGGTTGTTTCACGTTTCGTTTCTTATGTCAATTCGTCGGTTCGTTGAATCGGTTGAGTGTTCTTCTTTGGATCAGTTCAGGACTAATGGGTCAGCGGGATTCCTTCAACTGATGAGCGGATTTCGGAACTGGAAGTTTTATGGACTCGTTAGGTAGATTTTTGAAATTTCGCTTTTTTCTTGAGTCGCTCGCAATGGTATCTAAATTCAGAACTGGCCAGTATCTAGCCGGGTATCGTGAAACACGACGGGTGGTCCTCTTCGGAGGTGGCCAGGGCTGGTAGCGATCACTGCTGTCAAACATAGTGATTTTAGTGACCATGTTGAAGAAATAAGTGACCATTATGATTCACACTTTGAACTTTATAGATCCTCCTTTAGATGAAAGAAAACCTGAATTGAATTAAAAGCAAAGTTTAATGAAAACTCTTCAAGCAAACTTCCAAGGGCCTTCTGAGGATAATTTTGTGTTTGTGGGCGAAAACAAATCTGAAGTATAAGTATTTGGAATCTTTTTGAAAATACTAAAAGGAGGATTGCAATTAAATCTGAGAATAACTCCAGAATATCTTCAAAGGAATTCGATTATGAGAAGAAATCTAAGGTATTTGTGAGGAGAAATTCCAATGAATTCTTAGGGGACTTACAATATGAGTAGAATTCCAAGGATTCAAAAGGAAATCTGAAATGAATTCAATGAACATTTGGAGAATTTTTTCCAAAGGGTTTCTTTTCGTGGAGAATTTCAAGTTAATTCCGAGGATAACTTTATGAAACTGCCTTGAAGTTCTTTTGTAGTTTGAGAAACTATCCGGATGTTCACAATACTTCTCATCAAATTCTTAAACTTCCCTGAATTTAATAGGACTTCCCAAAGTTTCCTCAATGTTTCTAACGATCATGGATCTCCTCTAAATGTTTAACAATTCGCTGAAGTTCTCTAAACTTCTTTAAAATTGATGTGACTTCTCTAATCCTAACGGAACTGTTCTGAGGTCCTTGTTCTTTTCTAAAATTCTCAAAACTTCTCTAAAGTTCTGATGAACCTTGTTGTACTGCGCTGAATTTAATTGAAGCGCCCTAAAAATGTTTAAGCTTCAGTGAACTTCTGAACGTATGCGAAGACCTCAATTAACTTTTTAACGTCTCTTAAGTTATCTGAAATTCTGGGAACTGGTTTAAATTTCCCACTAATTTTCTGAAACTAATGAACCTGGCCTCCCCAAGTTTTGAAGCTTACTAAACTTCTTTCGAATACTGCCGCATTTTGCTAATGTTCATAAAAAATTCTGAAGTTTGTGGATCTCTCCTTAAGCTCCATAGATTTCTATGAAGTTCTCGAAATGTTTCTGAAAACCACTGTCCTTCTGTGAACTTTTCGAAGTTTTTCTAAATTGAACTTTTGTGCAACCGCAATGTTCATGGAATTAGAACGAAATAATTAATATAATTCTATGATTTTCACTGAAGCTTTCAAGATTTTTTTGAAGTTCATGAAGCTTAAATTATCGACACTCTCTAGACTGCCCTGAATTTTCAGCATTTTTTAAGAATCCGCAACGTTACTGAAATAAAATGATCTGCCTTGAAGTTTCGACAATTTCCCTTAAGTATTATAACCATTATAAACGCTCACTAATTTTCCCTGAACTTATCTATGGTTACCTGAAGTTATCTAAATTTGTTTAATAATCCGGCAAATTTACTGATATCTATTCATAATTCCCTGACGCTTCTGATGTTTTCAGATCAATCGTAGAATTCATGGAATACCCCCATCATTCCACGGAACTCTTTGTAAGTCTCTGCAAATTTTCTTAAGTTAATGGGATTATTCTGGAGCAATCTGATCGTCCTTGAAGTACTCGGAACTTCGCTGAATATGATGAAACTATCTAAATGTATCTAAATTTATTAGAAATACTCTGGAATTTCTTAAAGGTATCACTGCTTGCTAAAAGTTCTCGAATTTTTTTTAATTAATGGAACTTCGTTGATTTTCTTTAATCAATTTTGCGATTTTTAAGTTCTTGAACTCTCCATGAAATAACACGCTTAAAATAATCTCACGTTTTCCGGATGTTCATACAATTTTTATCACGTTCCAGAAGTTCTCTCGGAGCTTTGCTGAAGTTTCGGAAATTCCTAAGTTTCTCGCTACTTCTTTAAGGTTTCTACAATTTCCTTGAAATTATTTGAACTGCCCTTTGATTCTCTAATATGTCTTGATGTTCTCGAAGCTTCTCTAAAGCTCTCAATTCTATTGAAGATCTTGCTTCCGCTGCTCGGAAATAAATGGAATTCCCGTAAACACCTTCAAATTTCCCTGAATTTCTCTGGACTTCTGTGAAGTTTCTGAAATATTTCAGAAGTTTTCATAAATTCTCTGAAAGACTTTATACTTCCCTGAAATTCTCTTTTTTTTTAGCACATCGTGGAACTATCTGAATTTTTCTAAATTTACCGATTATAGATCTTTAAACTGCTTCAAAAGTCTGGACTACAGCTACGGAAACTGCTCTTAAGATCTGAAATTCCCCAAAAATCTCCAGATCTAGTTTTTCTGAGGTACTTAGAACTTCTTAAAAAAATTGCACAATGCCCCTTATATTTCTCAAGTTCGCTTGACACCTGTGAAGTTCATTGAAATTCTAGGAACTTTTTAAAAGTTCCCGAAAATTTACAGATGCTGCTTGAGGTTATTAAAGCTTCCAGTAAGTTCCCCATATTTTCAGCGTATTAACTTCCCTTATGTTCCCGCAGTTTGTTTATGGAGCTTCATTTATTTTCATTACTCAGAACTTCTGCAAAGTTCCTACAATTACAAACTTGAAATAAATCATTAATTTTTTTTCTTTGATTCTGGCACTTTGAAAATTTTCAATATCTTGAACTTGTACATGGAATACGAAACTTCAAGATATTGAATTATTTTAGAATTTGGACTTCCTCAAATTAAGTAAGTTTTTTTCAACTTTATTAAGTGATAAATTAAGTAAGGGTTAAACTTCAACATTCAATGTATTTGATTGTAAAGCTGTTTCTTTAAAAATGATTGTCTTAAGGTTCAATTTACTTTGATGCTTTTTGGAAAATTTCAAAAGCAGTTTTTTCCAACGCATTATTTCAGATTGCAAAAAGCTCGCACTATTCGATTCCTTTTGATATTTTACACAAAATGACGCGAGCTTTTTGCAATCTAAAATAATGCGTCGAAAAAAACTGCTTTTTATTTAAAAAAAAATGCATCAAAGTAAATAGAACCTTAAAAACGTTTGACAAAATTGCTGTTTTTTATATCCACAAAAAAAATGCATATTTTTAACGCATTTTAAAAATAGCTGTTTTTATTATAAACCTGGAATTTATCCTTTAAATTACTGGAAAAACCAGAAAAACTCTGGTAATTTTATTTAGAAAAATTAGTGGACACCCTGTAAATAGAGAAAGACTATTAAACACCACAAAGCAAAGAATTATCAATCTTGAAATAAATTCACGCTAAAAAAGTTGAAAATGGTGACTGATTACAAGAAAAAGTAACTTTAGTGACTTGGCCTTAAAAAAAGATACTTTTTAGTGACTGGCTTGAAAAAAGTGACCTAGTCACTCAAAAGTGACGCGCTACCAGCCCTGGAGGTGGCACTTATGCCATCCGTTAATAAAACCTACCGGGAACAAGCAGCAGAACCGTAGCTGCCTCGGGAGCGCTACAGGATGAGCCAAATTGCCTCGATTTTTATCAAAAATCGGCTCGAATATCAGGAAAATCGATAAATATTTTACTCAGTCTATGAGTATACACTCAATTCTGTTTCTACGCAATTTTGACCCATTGGATAGGTACAGTATTTTCAATACCACCTGATTTTTCGTTATTTTTTTAAAATAAGCTGCATTAAATTTAGTTGCAAATTGAGATCACACGATCAAAATTAGAGGCGAAAAAAAATCTGAGATATTCTCATCGGTCGTGTGAAGCCCGCTGAACCTGTCTAAGCCTAAGTCTTCTGGGCTTTTCTTGAAAATTCTCAAGTTACTGTACAGAAAGTTGTTCTCATACCGGGTTAGAACATGTCTCGACTTGTTGGGCATAGAGTATCATTCAGAGGCGTCTCGTCCGCGTGTACAACCTGTTCATGGAATAGGTAATCAATTTTAGCTAATCGTATGTACTAAGGCCTGTACTCGAAAAAAAAAATGGACCAGACAAAAGTGTTTGCCAAAAACTTATTTTAAGTCGGATTTTCTTGAAACTTT